GAATTTGAGAAATTTTTTTGGGGGGTTGTGGGGTGGGGGTGGAAGGGGGACAAAAAAATTGATCAGGGAAGGGAAATTTTGAAAACCCCCTGGGGGGAAACAAAAAACTTGATGGGAATTTGGGGAAAATTTCGAAAAATTTTTGGGGGGGAATAAGGGGGGGTAAAAATTTGCCGGGGTGGGGAAAGGAAAGAAATTCAAAAAAAAAAATTCGAAAAAAAGGGGAAAAAAAAAATTGAAACCGGGGGGATGGCGACGGAAAGGGACGGGGGGGTGGGGGGGCCAAAGGGGGGGGGGGGGGCCGGGGCCCGGGGGGGTCGGAAGGGCGCGGGGGGCGCGGGGGGGGGGCGGCCGGAAAGGGGGGGGGGGGGGCGCGGGGGGGGGGTTGGGGGGGGGGGGGGTTTGGTTGGGGGGGGCAAAGGGGGAGGTAGTTCGAGGGGGAGGTCAAAGTCAAAAGGAAGTAAATAGGTGTGAAAAGGGGGCCTCCCGTGTGGTCCTAGACGGATACACCGTCAGTGGGGAAAGGGTTTTGGAAGGGTGCGCTCAGCCGCACGCCTAAACCCGGAAAAGGGGGCGTCCGCCCCCCCTAAAAAAGGATACACCGCCCCGTGGAAAAAAATTTTAAATTTATTATTTAAAAATATATTATATATTTTTATATATTTAAATAATATATATTTATATTTATATATTTTATAATAATAAATATTTTATTTTTTTTTTTTTTGTTTTTGTGTTGTGTGTTATGCATAAGTTCAAAGAAAAAAGGTGATTTCAGAAAAAGCAAAAAACCACTGTGAAAAAATTGGAAATTTTAAATTTCTCTATTCTTTAAGTGGGTTTTTTTAAAAAACAACCACAACAATATATAATTATTGTATATTATATATTAAATTTTTATATTTATATATATATTTTAAATATATTTTATATATTTTTAATATATATATTTTATGCAAAAAACCAAGGGGGTGGAAATATTTAAACTCAAGTACTTTCATTTTCGTGCATCATCAGGAGCGGCAATGTTGTAAAAGGGAAAAACAGCAGAAATTGATAATTTCAGAGAGGGGAGTGTGGGGGCGCCCGTCGTCTCAGATTTTATTCTTTTCCTGTTGTTGCCTTTTTCAACATTGCACAGTCCTGATGATGCGCTGAGAAATGTGGAAGTACTTGAACTAAATATTTCCACCCTCCCCCCCGTGGCTTGTCCTGCATAGTTAAGATCGCACGTCTGCGATTGTTTGTATATATTTTAACCACAGACGAGTGGTATTGTAACCACAGACGAGTGGTATTGTAACCACAGACGAGTGGTATTGTAACCACAGACGAGTGGTATTGATCAATAACAACACTGCGCTAGTCAAGGATTTGAACCCAAGTTGTAGTAATGGCCTACCAATCTGAGCGAGAACCACATGACACTTTAACCCACAGGACCACCCAATCCTACATGAACGAAGCACCCAGGCAAGCTAGGTGTGTTACTCTTGGTCTGAGGCATACAGTAGTCTGGGAGCTTTCAAGCTAATTTCATTCTCATCCCTGTTTAGTGTACTAGCCTACAAGCAGCATATATATATATATTATTGTAACCACGGACGAGTGGTATTGATCAATAACAACACTGCGCTAGCCAAGGATTCGTACCTATGTTGTACTGGCCTACCATTGTGAGCGAGAACCACATGACACCTTAACCCACAGAACTATTTAATCCTACATGAACCAAGCACCCAGCCAAGCTAGGTGTGTTACTCTTGGTCCAAGAACATACGGTAGTCTGGGAGCTTTCAAGCTAATTTCATTCTCATCCCTGTTTAGTGTACTAGCCTACGAGCAGCATATATATATAATTGTAACCACGGACGAGTGGTATTGATCAATATCAACACTGCGCTAACCAAGGATTCGAACCTATGTTGTACTGGCCTACCATTGTGAGCGAGAACCGCATGACGCCTTAACCCACAAGACTACCCACTCCCAATCCTTGGCTAGCGCAGTGTTGTTGTTGATATATGCTGTAGAAACGGGATTTTTGTTGGATGGTTTTTGTTACTGTTATCATGGCGGCCTCTAAACAGTAGATGGCGTTGGTTATTTTCATGTATAATTAGTTAAGCATCTCGGAATCTCATGAGGTGGCTCTGATTGCTTCTGTACTAGACACAAGCACTAAATTTTAGGTTCCTTTATTCTTACTTCGAGGCAGTTGAGTTTCGCCGACAAACTTCTTATCACACCTTCCACAAGATATGACAAGCTTCAGCATGGACGGGTAGTTGTCAGTTAGTCTCCACTATAAAAACTCTGACATATGGAAGTGTTTGTAACAATTTTAAACTGACAAACTCTCAGTGTCAGGGATACAGTTGAAGCTACGTTGTTCACACGCAGAACAATATATTGGGTTGGCATTTGCTCTAGTGTCCACGTTGTTCCTAGAATGCATGCTGCACGTGGCATGGTTGGCAACGCTTTAGCTTCACTCACTGAGTGTCCGTGGCTCAGCCCCCAGCACAGATGGAAACAGTGGGCTTGTTTCCTAACACCTGCTGTCACTGTTCATCTAGCAGTAAGTAGGTACCTGGGTGTTAGTCACCTTATACCTTTCACTGTTCATCTAACCTCATGGTTAAAAATCCGAAAAAATTCTTATTTTGTCTTACGAAGTGAAGTTCGTGTAATGAATTCTCGTTCCTCTTCAAGGAACTGAGGGTTGAACATCCTATATGACCTTAGAAAGAATCCTACCTCTGTTATCGTGATATGAGGAAACAATAAGTTATTGTATGTTTTCTATTTACTTTGATTAAGAGTCTGTCTCTGCCAGTGTGGAGTAACATGTCTAAGAACGGCAACTGGTTGTTATTCTGTTTTTTAATTGTGAATTTTATAGTTTACTCAAAGCTGTTAAGGTGTTGTGAAGCTGTGTGCGTCCAACTCGTGTGTAAAGTTATCAAAATATCAAAGAACTAGCACAACCAGGTGAAATGAGTTGGGACTGGCTTCTAGTATGTGATTGATTTCCAGATTCTTCAAACTGTTGCTTATACTTATGTTCCTCGACATCAAAGCAATTGCGCATTTCTCATAATTTCATCACTGATTGCAGGAAGCGTGCAGAACGCATTTTCAACAAGAAGAACAGTATATTGTTTTGCTTGTTAGCAATGTACAGTAGCTTTAAACATGTCTCTGACAACAAGAAGTAGTCAGTTTAGAACAGCTACAGACTAATCTTCTGAATTGTGTTTGTGTTGTCCCAACCACCGGTGCAGAAGTTTGCGTCATACCCAGTGAAGAGTGTGTTAAGAAGTACGTGGGCCAAACAGAAGATCCCTGGAAGTAAGAACACGTGAACCAGCTACAGAAAATGACCTACCTAGCTGGTAATAAGAAGTTATCACAAGTTATATACACTGATGGATCTAAACAGGAGTTTTCTGGCTAACTTATGACACTGTGCTTGATTCATCATTACTGATTCTTTGTCATCATTGAAGGCTCTTGACTAACTTAATGACTTCAACAACATAATTATTGGAGAGCCAGGTCTAGATACTCAAAAATGCGGGGAAAAATAGGAATTAATGTACAATTACTATGGATCCCATCACACACTGGATTACTCCTTGATAAAGCTGATATATTAGCCAAGAAGAGTACCCAGAAATAGAATGTAGAATATAACTTTGATATATCTGTGTCTAGTATTAGGAATAATATTAAGAGAGAAGTAAATAATGAAAATGAATGTTATAGGATGCAGTTAGAAGCCTGAGTAGATCTATAACCCACTATGATAACATGAACGTAGATAAGTATGTTTATGGAGCAACTTGCAATGTGAACAGACCGACTGATGTTGTAGTGGCCAGACTTAGGCTTGGTTACAAGTACTTCTGGCAGTTTGGGAGACACACAGATGATGATCAAACTAAATGTAAATTATGTGATCAGGCATACGGTCACTGTCTTGAACACTATGTGCTTAATTGTCCACTTATTGAGGAATATAGAGATAGTGTAATAACCTATGTGACATGTCAAGATATCTTTTTAACGAAAATAAGATACCAAAAAATACTAAGCAAATTTCCTAAATTTGCTTGTAACAGATAAGTGAACTGCAGATATAATTCCAAATGTACACCTGTAACCCTTTTGGGGCCTAGTTCTTAGGCCTTTTGTGTATCCATATGCTCTTGCGCTACCGTCCACAGGATGGATATTGGGTGCACAATAAACTAGCCACTTCGGTCGCAAAATCTAAATCTCCCATACGAGGAATCGAACCACGGACCTCAGTGTGTGAGCTGAGTGCTCTAGCAATTAAGGTACAAAATACCGTAGCTCGTTGTGGCCAGCGACCAACACTTTCGCACATGTTTTTACAGCGTTTCCAGTCTTAGCAATTACTACCCAACCTGGGCACTGTCATTAGATGACACAATCCATCAATGTCACTTACCCGCTGACAGATCCTCTCCGTTCCTGCACATCACATTTCAGTTATATTACTACAACTTTTATTACCTCTGCCCTCTCACAACGTCACTTGATTCCTTCAGTTATTTAAACTCGTTTCTTAGTTGTCTATATACTAGGACTGAAGAAGTCAGTTCCTCAGTATATGTCTTGAACTGCGCAAATGTGTCTTTATCAACAAACAATAATAATAACATTGCCCTCAAAGTACTGGATTTATGATTTTATCATAATATGACTGGGAAGAAATATAGATGACGAGGTTATAGAACATATGGGGAATATGTTTTATATATTATGTTTTATATATTAAGGTTATGTTTGATATATTAAGAACCTTTACTGGTTGTCCAGTACCTTTGTATTAGGTATTTCCCAGAACAAGTCTTATTAAGTTTAATTTCTTCATCTGTTAATTAGAATGTTCTTCTCAATAGTTTTATTAAATACTATTGTTCCAAGTAATGTTCTGGGAATAATATAGATCTATATTTTCTCAACAGAAGATGATGGCATCACTGAACGACACAGACAAATAATGGTCAGTTTACACTGCTGGCTGACCCACCATTCTGTTGGTGTCCACAAATCCACTGATACCCTGCCAGCACACTATCAATTTTTATTCTAATAATTTAAAAAAAAAAATGTGTTTCTTAACACTTCGGCCGTCTCCCACCGAGATAGTGTGACCCGACAAAGAAGAAAACACTTTCACTGTCACTCGTTCAATGGTTGTGTTACCAGGAGCATGATGACATTATAGTTCAGAAGACCTTCCAAACCGTAACCTTCACAACACATTGTCATCGCTCTCGGGCCGTGTGGAGGTGCTGCGCAGACGCTCCTGATTGAGTTGATTTTCTGCGCAGTTTACCTGTTTGGGCTGCCCCTAGCACTGGTTGGTGGCAACTTTATTTTCTCAAGATGGCGCTGAACAGTCGGAGACGCATCAATACAATCTGTATTGAGTTGATCCGTGGGGCTGTAACAGGATCTTCCATGGATTTGTTATTACCGGCGATAATTCGCGATACATATGGTATAGCGAATGAGGAGATTTGTGGAGTGGCGCTCAACGGAACGACGAGGATCTTCGTGAAATTAACATCTGCATCTGTACATGAGGCGGTGATTGACAAGTACCAGGAGACCACTATAGCGGTCAACTACGCGGTGTCAGTACGGCTCCATGATGTATCAAGGTACTACACCTGGGTCAAGATAAGAAATGTACCTTCCGAGGCAGATGACTCTGATATCCGAAGTGACCATATGACCACTGCGGGGCGGTGGGCTGCTGGCCCGTATACTGGGATACCTGAAGGCACATATTCTGTTAAAATGACACTACGTCTTCCCATCCCTTCGTATGTAGTGTTATCGGATTTTAGGAACGAAGTATTTGTAACATATGCTGGGCAACGTCGAACGTGTCGCTTGTGTGGGTCATATGACCACGTGGCGGCGCAGTGTGGAAAGCGACGGGGATATCCAGAACAGCAGCGACGGCAGGCTGCAGAAGAGGATGGTGAGAAGCGAGAGCTGCCTTATGCGACCCTGCCTAAGCAAGGGTTGTCTTGGAGTGAAGAGGTCGATAAAGCAGTGGCGACTGAGACAGCAGGTCTATCAAGAGGGGAGGTGTCACCTTCATTGGATGTAAATCAGGTGTGCGATGAGAACATACCAGACTTGTGTGATGGAGATGTGGAGGTGTCGTTAGCAGAGGCGTTAGACGCCTTGATAGACGACAAGATTATAAGACAGGTGGGGGATCCAGATCTAACTATGGGGTCTGTTGCTGACGACGGAGTGGGAGGTGAAGGAAGACTACAGCAGAGTGAAGCAAACGTCTTGATGGTGCAGGATGTGGAGGTGGAGGTGCATCAGGAAGAGGTAAAAGATGCTACAGTGCAGGAGGAGGGTATGTCACGAAAGCGCATGACGGCGCTTTCGGACTCGGACGACCTGCTCATGCCTGCCCAGCGACCTGGAAAAAAGTCATGGGCGGAGGTCATGAGGAGAGGAACCAGTGGCCCCAAGGAGCAGGGGTTTGCTAAGGTGGTTTCAAAAGGGGGGGAGGGATAAGGGAGTAATAAAACGTTCTGGTGAAAAGTCATAACCGGGGACAAAAGGAAAACCCATTTAGTAGTATGACAATAAATATTAGTGGCTTGAGAGCTGAAAGAAAGCGTAAGTGGTTCAGTGAGTATTTGGTGCATCTGGGTGTGGATGTAGTGTTCATACAGGAACACAACTACAAAACAGGATATGAGTTGGAAATGAGTGGATATAATGTGTACTTGGAGCATACGACAAGGTTGAAAGGAGGAGTTGCTATCCTGGTGAGGGAAACTAGCCCATTCGTTGTAAGGCGTTGCGAAGGGGGGGAGGGGAGGGTGATTAGAGTGGATGGATCATGGGGTTGGGTAAAAATAAGTCTGGTGTGTGTATATGGTCCTGCAGAGGGAGATGTGCGTATTAAAACTAACTTTGTTAAAGAAGTTCTGGTATATTATTTGCGTGCCTTGCCAAATGTAGCGGTAATTGGTGGTGATTGGAATTGTGTGATAAGACGAAAGGATGTGGAACCTAGAGGGGCAGGGACTTGTTTGGGGCTATTGTGGGATTTATTAAATGGGGTGGGGTTAAGGGATGTTTGTGGGGGAGGGGAGTAGGGGGAAGTAGAGCATACTTTTGTTAGATGTGATTATGCGGCAAGACTGGATCGTTTGCACGTGCCCCATGCGATAAGAATGCGTAGCGTGTGTGTGGTGGATGTGGTTTTTTCAGACCATAGGGGAGTTGTAATGGACGTAGATTGGGAGGGATTGCCTCGAAGGGGTCAAAGTTATTGGAAATTAAATGTAAAGTTACTGCAGGGAGATGAATGGCGTCAGTCTTTTGTGAAAATGTGGGAACGTTTGGCAGTTGCAGCACCTGGAGATGATGCCTTGGTAACTTGGTGGAATACGGTGGCTAAAATGAGCATCAAAGAATATTATATTAGGAGAGGGAAGGAATATAACACGTTAAAGTATGGATTACAAAGATACCTTGAATGGCAGCTGCGTGAATGTTATGCAAGAGGAAGTGCAAACTATCCAGTAGTCGAAATTGAAAGTTTAAAGGAAAGTATTAGGATGTTGCAAAATGAGAGGTTTGATGGGGAGAGAATTAGGGGTGGAATAGAAGAGGTACTGTGGGGAGATCGACCGTCGGCTTGTTTGTTGAGGAGTCAATGTAGGAGGAGAAAGGCAATGGAGATGATGGGGTTAAATGTTCAGGTTGGTATGGAAGGGTATAGGGTAGGTTAAGTGTTGGTAACGACGGAGGGTATAAGTGGATATGTTGATGCTTGGTTTAAGTCAAATATGCAAAGTGTTGGTATAAGTGGGATAGCACTGCAGACAATGGGAGGGTTTGTGCAGTGCGAGCTGGAGGTGCAAGATCGATTGGCATAGGGAGGGCCGATCACGGAGTGTGAGATTTGGGAGGTTTTAACTGGTGTGAACTTAGGTAAGGCGCCGGGTATAGATGGGATACCAAGTGATTTTTATGTTAAAAATTGGGCGTACTAAAGGGGTTTTTAGTAAGATTGTTCAACATGCTTAAGAAGGATCGGGTTTTAGGAGAACAGCAAAGGACGGCTGTGGTGGTTTTAGTACCGAAGGGTGAGCCATCAACAGTAAGGGATTATCCGGCCATTTCGCTAATGTGTGGAGATTACAAGCTATTTGCAAAGATATTAGCTAACAGAATTAAGAAGGTAATAGGTAAAGTGATAGATAAGGGACAATACGGAGTGCCGGGAAGGTCTATATATGAAGGGCATGGTTTGATTAGAGGTTTTATTGAGAGATGGGGCGAATAGGGAGGGGGGGGGGTTGGCTCTGGATTGGGAGTTGGCTCTGGATTGGGAGGCAGCCTATGACAGTGTAGAACGGGAAGTGTTATGGATGTTTATGCGTTGGCAGGGGTTCAGGGAAGAAATTATATCTTGGGCTAAATTATTGTATCAAGGTGCTGCAATGAGGATACAGGTGAATGGGAGGTTAGGTGATAAAATTCAGATGGGTAGGGGCCTGCGTCAAGGTTGTCCCCTTTTGCAAATTTTATTTGCGTGTTTACAAGATACCTTTTATAGAGCGATTCGAAGGGTTTTTTACAGGAGAGGGGGTAGGTAAAACAGGGAGGAGGGTTGGGTTTGTGGGTTATTAGAACAAAAACGTTTTGGTGAGGGAGGTAGGTTTTTGTTTAGGGGGGAAAAGTTTTGAATATTTTTGGGGATGTTCGGGTTGAAAATTAATCAGAGAAGACCAAATATGGATTTTGGGGGGATAGGTTAACAGGGCGGAGAAGTAGTAGACAGGTGGAAGAGGGGGGCCAATTATTGTATGTGGGAAGTTATTGGGGTATAAAGTTGGCACAAGAATAAACTCAGTGTGTTTTTGGGGGGGGGGTGTGTAAAAAGACTAGGGTTTTAAAGGCAGCAAAACACGATACACAAAAGGGAAATAGTAACAAATGGCTGTTGTACAGTAATTAGGATGTTGCAGCGATGTATCCGATGATACAAATGAGATAAAATGGTTGCAACAGAGAGTTTTTAGATTCTATGGGGTCAGGATTGTGGTAAAGAGGCGGTGGCAACCCCCGGTAGGCTGAAAGGGCGGGGATTTTATACAGTTGAAAAAAGGATCAGAGGTTATTTTAAAACGTATTTTAAAATAAGGGGGGGGGGGCGAGGGACGGTGGACTAATGGATACTGAGGATAGCAACGGTGGTGGGGGGTAGGAGTTATTACTAGGGAGGCTATTTTGAGGTTCTAATAACAGGGGAGAAAACCGTCACAAAAAAATTTTGCGAGTCCTTGAAGAACTTGATTGAAAGTCATTTTTGTGCGGCGTAGAAAAGGGGGTTTTTCCAAATGTATGCTTGGAGGGTTTTTGGGAGGCATCGAATAAATTACATGAAACCCAGGGTACGAGAGGAAATGTTTAGTTTTTTACATGGGTCTTGCGTCGGGGTGGTCTTTTTTCAATAGGAGGACAGGGAGGGTGGGGAATGCAAGGGTGTGGATGCAGGAACATTTTTCACGCTGTGTATTTTTGCGATTGTATTAAAAGAGTCGGGTTTGGTTGGAAAGGTTTTTTAAGTTAGTGGGGGGGAGAGTTACAGGTTTTAAAGGGGCTTTAAAATTTTAGAAGGTGGGGGAATAAAATGAGAGAATGCCGTGGGGGTATAATTACTGATTTTATTTTTGTTTTGGGGTTATGGGGAGGGGGGATGAGTGAAAGAAAAAAAAAAAGGGTTCACGACTTTTTATAGAACGAAGTGTCGGAATAAGGAAGTGTTTGAGGGAGATAGGAGAGGGCATTTATGAGGGCTATAGGGTTTCAAATTAAGGGTTTTTGGGGGTTTAAATGCAAGGTAAGGGAAGCGACGGGTTTTTCCCGGAAAAAGGTTTTTAGCTGATGTGTTTATTTGGGCAGGAAAAAGGTGGTTAAGGGGTTTAAAACAGAGTTTTGTTCTTAGGGTATAGTTAACGAAACAAATTTAATGGTTTAAGCTTAAAATAAATATATATGTACTTTGTATTATTTTTAAAAAAATTGGTGATTTGTATGAAAACTTCCTTAAATTTTAAAAAATATGTTTTAATTTGATTTTGGGATGATTGGGTTGTCGATGTGTATAGGGTTTTAAAAATTAAAAGGACATTTGTACAGTTTTTTCATAAAACTTGATTTTAGTGGACGAGAGGACAGTCCAATGGGAAAAATTGGAATTTTATTTTTTTGTTTGTATTCTTTTTTTCTTATGAAGAATAAAAATGAAGTATTAGTTACGGTCCGTTTTCTGTTGGTAGCGAGTATTTTAAGTTGTTAAAGGGGATAGAAGTTTTTTTGAAGTATAGATGATTTTCATTTTCTCGGACGAATATGTTTTTTTTTTAACAATGTAAAAAAATTTTTTATTATTAAAAATATTGGAGTTCAGAATGGGAAAAACTAACAAGCCAGAAGGTGAAGACGGGTTTTTCCCCCTTTTATACTAAATGGTATTTGTGGTGAAAAAGTAATTTTTTCAGTTGGGGGGCAAAAGTACATAGTCTTTTTAATTATTCCGTAAAGTATGTTGGTGGGATCATGTAATTATTAGTTATTTTTTTTTATTTTTCTGTGCCAGAAGTGGGAAATCAGCAGCCAGCACAGGTGGCAGAAGTGTGCACTCATCAGTCCAGCACAGGGGCAAAGTGTGGCACTCAAATCATCCAGCACAGGTGGGAAAAGGGGCACTATAAAAATGGGAGAATTTTGGCATATCAGCCACCATGCGAAGTGTGGATTTTAGTCAGTCCAGACAAGGTAAAGAAGTGTTTGGATATTGTCCCGAATGGAAAGTGTGGAATCAGTCAGAAAATTCAGAAAATTGGCTATATCCAAACAAAATTGGGATTCATAGTACAATAATGTTTGGACCGTCATAAAGGTGCCGAAGTGTGGATGTTTTAGACGGGGGAAAGGGGCCCAGTCCCCCCGGGGGGGTCCCGCTCCCCCCGGGGGGTTGGGACTCCAGTCCCCGGGCGGTTTTGGGCACCTTTAGGGCCACAAGGTTTGGGAATGTGCATTTTTCGGGGAAGGGCCCGGTGGGGGTATTAGAAGGGGGGGGCATTTGTTCATCCCCGAAGGGGGCCCAAAATTCCTTTGCAGTAGACTCAAAAAAACTGTCATCCCCAAGGTGAAATTCCTAGTAGTCCCACAACCAAAGTTGGGGGTTTTTCATCCACACTCCCAAAGGTTTCCCTCACATCCGACAGGGGCCCGATGTTCACTACATCCAGACAGTCCAAAATGGGCCTCACATCCACACAGGTCCCCAAAGTTCCTCCTCAACCCCCAGGGGGCGGGGGAAAAACCCGTTCCCCAAAAAAAAAGGGGGGGGGGCGAAGGGGGCGGGGAAGGGGCCCCCCCCCCCCCCGGGGGCCCCCCCGGGGTCCCCCCCCCCCCCCCCGGTCCCCCCCTGGGCTCCCCCCCCCGGGGTCCCCCCCCCGGGCCCCCCCCGGGGCCCCCCCCAAGAGTTTTGGTGTATGTTCAATATTTTTATCATTTTTAGGGGGGTCGTGAATGGTTGTATGTATTTTACGTTTTGTTAACTTTCCCCTTTGAATTGGGTTTCAAAATTTTTCTTCGCACTTGTTAAAACTTTTAATAATCTTGTTCAATCCGTATTGTGGTGTTATTTAATATTTTATACACCTTGAAAATTTAAAAGTTTTAAAAAAAATAAAAAAAAAAAACCTTCACAACACAAATTGTTTTTTCCACGTCCACGACTCAAATTTTTCCTTGCTCACACTCCAGAAAACGTCAGATGTTACCTTGCTCACACTCCAGTAACACGTCAGTTTTTTCCCTTCCACACTCCAACAACACTCATTTTTTCCCTTGCCACACCCAAACACGCAGTGTTACCTTGCTCACACTCCAAACACTCAGATGTTACCTTTCTCCACTCCAACCGTCAAATTTCCTTGCTCAACCCCCAAAACCGTCAGTGTTACCTTGCTCACACTCCAAAACACGTCCCGTTTTTACCTTTCCACACTCCGAACACTCAATGTAACCTTGCCACACTCCAAACACTCAATGTTACCTGCTCAACTCCAAAACCGTCAGATGTTCCTTGCCAACCCAACAACACGTCAGAGTACCTTGCCCACTCCACAACCCTCAAGTTACCTCTCCCACCCAAAACACTCAGATGTTACCTCCACACTAACAACACGTCAAGTTACCCTCCACCCAACAACACGCGATGTACCTTGCTCACACCCAACAAACGCAGATGTTACTTTGTCAGAGACTTTACACTCAACACAGTCGAGTTACCTCTCACTCCAACAACATCAGAAAGTTACCTTTCTCCACTCCACAAAACTCAAGTTACCTTTACACCCAAAATGTCAGATGTTACCTTCTCACACTCCCAACAAACTTAAAATTCCTTCCCATCCAAAAACACGTCAATGTTACCTTCTCACACTCAACAACACTCAATTTCCTTGCTCACCTCAAAACCGTCAATGTTCTTCAACTCAACACAGTCAAGTTCCTCCACCCAACAACCGTCAATGTTACTTCCACATCAACAACACGTCAGATGTTACCTCTCACACTAACAACACCAGTTACCTTGCCCACTCCAACAACACGTCAATGTTACCTTCTCACTCAACACACTAGATGTACCTCTCACCTCCACAACACGTCAATTACCTGCTCACCTCCAAAAACACGCAGATGTTACTCTCACACTCCCAACAGTCATGTCCTTGCACACTCCACAAGCAATGTTACCTTGCTCACACTCCAACAACATCAGATGTTACCTTCTCACACCCAACCACTCATGTTACCCTTCTCACACCCACAAACGCAGATTTCCTTTCCACACTCCACAACACGTCAATGTACCTCTCACACTCACAACACGTCAGATGTTCTTGCTCCATCCAACAACCGTCGATGTTACCTTCTCACACTCCACAACCTCAGATTTACCTGCTCACACTCAAAAACCGCGATGTTACCCTCACACTCCAAAACCCAGAGTTACTTCTCAACCCCCAACAACACTCAGGTACCTTGCTACCTCCAACACGTCAAGTTACTTGCTCACACTCCACACCGTCAAGTTACCTGCCAACCAAAACCGTCAATTACTTGCCCACTCCAACAACACCAATGTTACCTCTCCACCCAACAACCGTCAATTTACCTCTCAATCAACAACACTCAGATGTTACTTCTACACTCAACACACTAGTGTTCCTTCTCACATCACAAAACGTAAGTTACCTCCCTCCACAAAACGCGATGTTCCTCCACACTCCAACACACGCAGTGTTACCTTGCTCAACCCAACAACACGTAGATGTTACTGCTCACACTCCAAACACGTTGATGTACCTTCCCACTCCAACACACGTCGATGTTACCTGCTCACACTCCAACACACTAGTTTACCTTCCACACCCAACAACACGTCAATGTTCTTCTCACACCCAACAACATCAATTTACTTCCACACTCAACAACACGTCAAAGTACCTTTACCACACAACAACAGTAGAGTACTTGTCACCTCAACCAG